AGTGGATCGCTTTTTCGGTCCGTTGGTAGATTCTGCGAAGCACGGCTCTTGCTAGGGTTCGTGTTAGCAACGTCGTCAGGTTTGAGCTCCGTGAGCTCACCTACTACTTAAGGTTACGCTGAAATAGCCTCTCAAGACTCTCAGCTAGGTAGGAAAAAAAAAGTGATAGGTCAAATACAGTTTCGTTAAAAGAATAATATTAATGTCCCGTTTATTTTCTCTGTCTATTAATATTGTAAGTTTAGGAATTTTAAATTTCAAGGAACCGAACAAATTCAACCCTTAAATGTAAAGACTATTTTAAAACACCTAAAGCCCGCAATAAATTCTTGTCTCCAACTAAGTTGTTTTGACAAGTTCATTGAATGTAAATGCGACAAAGGTGTTTTTTTTTTTTTCATTATAGTTTTGGATATTGTAACCAGTATTCATACTAATTTAATCAAATTACTACAAAAAAGCACAGGTTAAACGATTTTAAGAATCGGCGGAAAACAAATTTCTAGTTAGTGAAGTCGGTAACTGTTGACTTTGTTCCGGTTTGATTTCTGGTTTCAGTTACTGACTGCAACTTGGACTGCAAAAGATGGGTAAATAAAAAAAAGTAGTTAAATTTGGTAACTGTCGTCTTGTGCCCGCGAGAAATTTCTAGTCTGGAAGCTGCTAACAATGGAATGTTTGTTTGTTTTATTTTGTCGGAGCGAATACTTTTGTCAACAGTAGTGTGTACAGGATGAGAATCTTATAGCAAGCGATACTATAATATACTACTATAATAATATACTACTATAAAAGTACCCACTCTAACCGGCGCCATCTAGGCGGGCTTCGGACAGTCTGCCGACCGAGAGGGCTGGTGGTCGTGGCGCCGATGACCGCCAGTCCGGCGTCCCGAGGGGGAGGGTGACGGGAGAGATGTGCTCCGCACTAAACGCTTCACTTTCCCCCCTTTGCCTTGTCATGAGATCTGTCTCATGCGAGGTTTGGACGTTGGTTGTTGAGCGACAGGAGGTTTTAGTCAGTTCGACTCTGACATACCCCGCCCAGTATCCCCAGAAAAGGGCGGAAGTCCGGCGATTTACTCCTGACCAAAAAAAAAAAAAACTATAAAAGTACCTCATAATAGATTTCTAGTTTGCGTGTAATATAGATAATTTTCTGAAGAGGGCCAAACATCAGTTTGTTAACTTAAATGAATAATCAAACTCACAGCTCAACTGATGTTAAATGGTTACCGAAGTCATATACATAGCAAGATAAATTGACCTTGCCTATTCATATTTCACATTATTATCAGGTCATACTTTTTGACACAATAAAATAAATTAGATATATCTGTCAAATCCTATCTAATAATAATATGTGAATTGTAAAAATGTTTATGTGTTTTATGCAATGTAATTAATTACCATATTAGAAGCCTTCTTGCTCAGCTATCAGATATTATGGTTGTCCAGTGCAACAGACATTATAGTTTTTACTGTGTCTAATTTGATTGTGACGTTTCAATAAAATTATTCTATTCTACATTCCGATGTACTACACGAAAAATGGAATGAAAAATGAAACCTACAAGATGGACCGACGACCTGGTAAGAACCGCTGGGTCACGTTGGATGCAGGTGGCAACGGACCGGCCGCACTGGAGATCACTTGGAGAGGCCTATGTTCAGCAGTGGACAACAGACAGGCTGAGATGATGATGATGACACGAAAAATAGGTATTCCATTCTATTCTAATTCTAAAAATAAAATTATGATAAAAATTCAAAGGGTTCCGCACTCGATTCTTGTCGCGCTTTCCTCGAAACAGATATTATACGGTTCTCTGAGTTTTAATTGAGAAATGTATTTATTGTTTGAGTTTTTTGAGGCGTCACACTATTTTTGTCGGAATGTTCGTAACTTATTTTGATTGCAAAATAAAGTTTATGTACCGTTATATGCTTCGGTTTATTGTTTTCGTTCGGTTTATTAAGATTATTAATAAAAAATTTTGTTGCTGCGTTTAATAAACAATAATAAAGTTTTATGAATTCGGTTATTTTATGGTGTTGCATGTTTTTTTTCCTTAGATGGATAAATTAATCCCAGTTCATCTGTTACTAAGTGGTTACCGAAGCCCATGCATATCACAACGTGAATGATGTTGCCACTAACTTGAGTCTTGATTGAGTTAGAAGCCGAAATTACATCAGTCGTTTCAAGCGAACGTAATTGCCAAATCATAACTCGCTAATTACTATGTTAAGTACTAGTATATATTATATTACAATACGAGTATACATTAAAGGTGTAAGCTCGCATATATTTGTTTTAATTGCCTTTGTAGGTAGAAGAGCATACGCCACCACCCACTTGATAGTGAGTAGTTACCGTCGCCCAGGGACATCAGCAATACCAGGAGCAGAGCCAAGCGGCTGTCTACTATTAATTACTCTCCACAAGCCTGTTAATACGTATGTATAGGTCCATGAATTATGGATTGGACAACCATTGTACCAACTATGGATCGAAGCTTAGCAACTTTTTGCTCAGACTGCATAACATCAGACAAGACCGTTGCAATTTCATACAATTAATACAGGCAGCGGCATTTACTTTGTTTCAACTCCCATAAACATTGAACTTCAAGAATGCTATGAGTATGTTTGCCCTCAAACAATAATAAATGAAATACAAAAAAAAACTTTACAAATCAACCTCTTAACGGAGCAAAACACTCGTTAATGTGGTCGTATTTATTTCATTAACCTCCAAATAAACTGTATTAACTGGCACAAAAAGTTACTTTTTTTCTAGGTAGAGAGGTAGGCATTGAGGCTTACCCTTGTTAGGCAACAAAAAGTCTATTCAGACCTACATCTAAAATGACAGTTGTCAAATTATATTAGCGTCTTACTCTATTTCATCTTAAATTTAGGGAAAATCAGTTTAAGACGAAGCTTTCAGCGGGAAAGTAAGTGGCACGTCGAATTTAAACCAATTACACGGACAGAATGGAACAAATTTTCCCGAAATGGTAAATTTTGATTGAACATTTGACTTCCACAGTGACACGGCTTTTGTTATACTCTAATATGGTAATTTATTGTTTCCTGAAGAATGATTATCTTTATGTTAGGTTTTTAAAATTTTATGAGACGTAACACAAGCAATATATAAAAAAATACTAACTATTCGTCGAGGTCTAAAGGTTAAGATGTCCGGTGCATTCGTATCTAGCGATGCACCGGTGTTCCAATCCCGCTTGCAAGTACCAATTTTTCTAATGAAATACGTACATGACAAATGTTCACACTTGACTTCCGCGGTAAAAGAATAACATCGTGTAATAAAAATCAAACCCGCAAAATTATAATTTGCGTAATTACTGGTGGTAATTATCAATAGGCACCACCACCCTGCCTATTTCTGCCGTGAAGCAGTAATGCGTTTCGATTTGAAGGGTGGGGTAGCCGTTGTAACGATACTGAGAGCTTGGAACTTATATCTCAAGATGGGTGGTGATTTTTTCGTTGTAGATGTATATGGGCTCTGGTAACCACTTAGCAACTGTGGTGGGCTGTGAAATCGTACACCCACCTAAGCTAAAAAAATGCTTATACACCAAAAATGTCTTTGGTTATCATCAATCACGGTACAGCGAGATCTCAGACCATAGATTGAAAGATATCCGTAGAAAACTACATACAATAGACATCCCAGTTAAGCTTAATACACTAGCTGTCTGGCTATCTGCCTGCCATTGCTGATATCCTCGACCGACGTTGACTACTTACTATTACCAGCTGCCAATGTATAAGCTGGCGTGCCAGCTTTAGCAAAAAAAAATTACATAATTCAGTAGAACAGTGCGTTTCCAAAGATCTTTTTTGCCACGTACCATCCGGCTTTGGAATGAACTCCCCTCCACGGTGTTTTCCGAGCGCTATGACATGTCCTTCTTCAAACGAGGCTTGCGGAGAGTACTTTATGGTAGACAGCGGCTTGGCTCTGCCCCTGGCATTGCTGACGTCCATGAGCGACGGTGACCACTTACCATCAGGTGGGCCCTATGCTCGTCTGCCTAGATTGGCAATAAAAAAAAAGAACAACGACTTTATTTGTAAATGATGTTTTACATTAATCTTGTCCGTAATTCAATGAGTAACATTCCCCGTGTGCACATTTCAAATGATGCCACGGTCTCAGTGTTAACATGTACACACATCTATTTCTAAATCAAATACGTAGTAACGCAGCACTTCAAAAACTTCTTAGTCGGATGAAGTATGTGATTCCCTAAAATAGTAACAAGTTTGTAGTACCACTACCTTACATAATATTTTGGTGGGATGGCCGATATATGTATATACAACGAAGTCTCGTACCTCGTGTCTACATAGTGTATTAATCTCTTCTAATCATAGATAATGTGATCGATGAAAGAACCACTTAATATCAGGAGAATTTTATAAATAATCAGGCTATTAAATAATCCTAACACTAAGCCGAATGGAATTTTTATTATTATTTCGAAGCATTTATCTAATTATTCGACCTTAAAATAGGCCTAATTAAAAGCCACTCCACAAAAGTCTCCTCTGCCTATTATTTTATTACATTTCGGGACACATAAGTAAACTTGACAAATTAATAATAAATAATTATTTTAAAAAAATAATAAGAATTGATTAAAATCAAATTATGAATCGCTAGTCATTCAGAAACCGCCCAACTCGGTAATTAAAATGAAAAATTACTCTGGAATTCGCTTCGTCAAGCTCATCTTCTACTTTGTTAGCTTGCGTTGACGAATCACTCAACAAGGGATGAATCCCTAAGAAAATACTCTTTCGACTTGGTGATTTTAAATTTTATTTCGCTATCTCCCTTGAACAAAATTGAAAGCTTTTTTGTCTTTGACAATTTCATTAAAACTATGTACTTATATTTCCACTCCTATTTTCAGTAAATCGTTTTCAAAATACAATACTACACATTTTGTTTTCACTTACCAAGCTCCTCTGCCAATCATGTTAGAAATCATGATTCTTAGTACAGGTACTTCAACTCACGAACATGCCTAAAGTATCAGAAATCACTAAATCCACAAAAAATTAAAAAGAGAAAATCAAATACAACTTCGACATTCGAAATTAGGCTTAACTTGCGAATCGGCACTTCACCGACTTTCAATGCGACCGACCCCCACGGAGTTTCAGCGGAGACTGCACATTCTGAAACTGGAATTCTGAAACACTCGATGTTCTATACAGACGACACCCATCCGCGTAGATGAGTCTAATAGTGCTTGCGCTAAGCTGATCATGGATCATGTTTGGGTTATGTTATTTTTCTTCATTCAAGCTTACTTAAATACCCATACTGTGCAAATTAATTTCGAGGACATGAATAAAGCTCTGAAGTGATGAAACTTTATTTATCCTTACGTTTTTGATATTACATTAAGAATAACAATCTCCAACTTAGAAACAGCTCTGAACACAATTCGCGTTACGATTAAGGAGTTAGAATTAGTTTTGACGGTTGTCATTAAAACTACTTGCGGCTCGAAGCTTTCATGATTTCTAGTTTAAAGGGGAGGGCAGGTTCATGCTGTGGTTATATGGCTTCAAAATATGCAAAGCCAAATTAATACGCGATTTCGAAACAGAGTGTCAATTAGAGTAAAATGTAATAAAAATTACTAAATAATTAAATCGAAATTTGATTTCAAAATATTAGAGGCTTGATCGCTTTTTTATCCTTCGAAGCCAGACACCATACCTGAAGGTTAGTAGCAGTTGCCATCGTATCTTGACTTCAGTACTGTTAGGTACATATCCAAGCGGCTTTTTTCTTATCAGCCCACAGACGTCCACTGCTGGACATAGGCCTCCCCCAAGCCTCGCCACAAAGACCGGTCCTGCGCTGCCTGCATCCAGCGGATCCCCGCAAACCTCAATAGATCGTCGGTCCATCTTGTGGCCGTGTGTGAGGTCTACCCAAGCCACTTCCTACGAGGTAAGATTCATAGAAATTCTAAAGGATCCGTAAGATTGGGATCGGGATTGAATCGGAACCGTTCCCGAAGGATGAACGGGAATAAATTAAACTTAACATAAATATTTATTTTTATGATATTTCATGAGCCAACGAAGGACAGCTAGTGGCCGTCACCGCCATATTTGCATTTCATTTCGTACAATAAAAATTTGGAAATATTATATATCCGTACAATTCCCGAATACGATATTTTGTAAGGACGTATTCGTCGTCTGGAAAATTTCCTGCCTATATCCATAAATCCAGGTAAGCCAGAATCAGCTATATGAAATATAAGGAACAATATGATTTCATTTGTAAATTAGGTATGTTTGATAATTTTAATTCGTTTTTTCATATAAGATTTTACTAGATAAATGAAATGATCTGTATGGGAAGTTAAAAATGAAATATCATACAAATGCTATACAATAAATGAATCACACATTTTTTTACACAAATATAAGAGAAAAGCGCAGTCGGTGCGAGATCTTACACTCTTATTCAGTCAAGGTCTTCCTGCTGTATAGGCTCTTTGTAAAACAATGGCCCTATTGAAAACCGGGTCTTTGTAATTCGGAGCATCAAGGGAAAATATATCGAGAAGCGAATCTAAAAGCGGACCTTTGTTTCTGGTTACGGAAAAGTAAACTCGATTCTTCCTAAATTCCTACCGTGTTTGTTAGCAGAACAAATTGTTCTTAACTCTGGATTTATGGTTTTATTTTAATACTGTCGTTTGACTAGATATTGCAGTAAATAGCATGGCTTGTGGTGCGGCACAGTTTTTATGCATTACAAGTTGAGACTACGAACTCATATCTCATTGTCAGAGATGGTATTCACTCTATAATCTCTAATAGGCTCCGGAGACTATTTTACACCAGATTAGCCGTTAGCTCGTCTGCATATCTATATCCAATGCAGGCCGAGATATCATCATAAGTTTAAATTATAATAATTAGAAATTTGCGTAATTAGTGGCATCTCGGATCCTATAATATGACGCACCGCCTGTCTATATTCACCATTAAGTACTGATGTGTTCCGCTACGAAGGATAATACTGCTGTTGGAGGAAAGGAAAGCTCTTAGGTGGGCGGCGTCATTTATGATTTTATGATTTCTACGAAAATATAATAGTTTAAAAAAACTAAAAATATACGCTTTTGTAGAAAATCCAACTAAAAAATAGAAAATAAATTTTAATAAATTTAAATTAAAAATGGTGTAAGAAAAAGTGATTTTATTGTAAAAAAAAGCGTGGGTTTTTTTTTGCATGCGTGGGGTGCATGGTATCAGTAGTTATAAATATTTAATGAACAGATATGAGTAGAAGGGTTATTTTGGTTATATCCCGAAAAGCATCCCACGCTTTTTTTACAATAAAATCATTTTTTCTTACACTATTTTTAAATTATATTTATTAAATTTTATTTTCTATATTTTAGTTGGATTTTCTATAAAAGCAGATTTTGTTAGTTTTTTTAAACTATTATTTATTTTTCACTTTTTAGTTGAATTTCATTTTCTTCAATATTTTTTTTCATTTTTTTTAAAATATTGAATTTTCATCGGTCCTTAATAAGTATACCAAATTTCGAGTTAATCCAACGTTTTGAAGGCGGTCAAAATCATGTTCAAAGATTCCGTTACAGACTAACCCACATACGTCTGAAGCTAATAAAAGCGTATTAAAAATATCTGTATTACCCAAATAACAGATACGTATATTTTACAATACGTTAAACAGTACCAGCGTTTATTACCCGTATTTCCATGCACAACTTTTTGTATGGACCCCTGACGAGTTTGAAACATGTTGCCTCGATGAGTAATGGCCGAAGTTGAAAAGAGTTTAAAATTGAGCTGTCTGAATTTCGCTTGCAGATTAATATCATAGATTTTAGTTGCGAATCGTAAAGATAATTAATTTTACAAAGAGGATTAATTGGAATTTGTCTTGAAGGGGACAAGGTTTATAAATTGGTGTTATATTTCAATGGGAATATTCGACTGGGAATGTTAGTTTGAAGAAAATCTTACATCCTCATGTATTAGTAGTGGTTTTCTGACCTCAACTTTCCCTCTATTCTTTGTCATAATACTAGTGAAAAGCATGTGTTGTGAACCCACATAATTATCATCTTGTCTTTTTTAGCCCTAAATAGATAAAGAGTTTCTGTGTACCAGACCAGAATTACCACTTTACCGATATTATTGATATTCTTAATTACATTTCAAAATTGCGAAGGACAGTGACTTGTAACATTGTGGCCTCTAGTAAGCCTTTAATACTAGATGAACAAGATCTAAGATATATTGCGGCATCTTGCATCAGATGTCTGCACACCATAACCAATACAGAAATAAATAATATTTCTAGTATAATTTTTATATAACATTCTATTCCACTAAATAATTCAGAGAATTTGTTGCAAAATTAAGTAATCAGAGGCCATATTCTACATTGAGTATTCAGGCGTAATCATCCTATCCTTTGGGAGATAATTCATAATTGTTTTATGCAAATCACCACCCTTATAAGTAAGACCGTGTAAGTACCTAAGGGAGCTGTTAGGGGGTTAGATCGGGTTGCCTGATATGTGATTGATTATTTCTAAACTAAAAACAATCCGTATTTTTTTATTATCTGCGGTCATGTCTTCAGGAATTGTCGCCACATTTGGTAATAATTATATATATTATACTTTTTCTTTTTCAGTATTTTTAAATGTGTCTCTATTTTATTTGTTTATTATTGCATAGACATAAAAACGAACCCACGGCAAACTTGGTACAAAGTGTTTAATTGTGCCTATAGATTAGATACATTTTTTTTTATAGCTTAGATTGGTGGACGAGCTCACCGCCCACCGGGTGTTAAGTGGTTACTGGAGCCCATAGACATCTACAACGTCGACACCCATCTTGATGTCTGAACCTATATTATACCCGCTGTTTTTCTAGTCTACGAAGTCTTTTAATTAAAAACTCTATTCGTACGCTAACTATATTTGAAAGTCACATTTCAATCGTATCCGAGCACGTAAATTGTTAATATAATACAACAAACACTTTGTGTAACCACAAAAACATTTTGAGCGTATTAGTACTAAAGGTTTTGTCATGAATTATTCAGATACCTGTCAAGCCCTTCAATACAATATCCTTAATAGTAAGACAGCGCTAACGAAGTTGATCCTCCGTGCAAGTGCCGAACAATTAAACAGAGAACATTTAGGTAATTTTATAACATTGTTTAAATTTCTAGCTATGAAAGAGCTATTTAGATTTTAATTTCCAATATTAGAGAATGCTTCACAAGTTCTTTTTTTGCATATGATTCTAAATATTATAAAAATATTTCTAAAATTATGAAGTCATCCAGGCCTAAATGGTACCATCCAGGTAGCATTCTATTGAAGTACGTACTTGACAAATTTTCACGAATTACTTCCACCGAAAAAATTACATCGTGTAATAAAACAAAAAAAAAATACACAATGTNTTCCAATATTAGAGAATGCTTCACAAGTTCTTTTTTTGCATATGATTCTAAATATTATAAAAATATTTCTAAAATTATGAAGTCATCCAGGCCTAAATGGTACCATCCAGGTAGCATTCTATTGAAGTACGTACTTGACAAATTTTCACGAATTACTTCCACCGAAAAAATTACATCGTGTAATAAAACAAAAAAAAAAATACACAATGTTATTCCATCACCGCAAATGACTTTTTTGGAACGAAGTTCCTTATGGGACGATGCGGAGAGGCATCCTAACCGGGAAAAAACGTCCGTAACGTAAGATTTTTATTAGTAATGCACACAGTGTACGACTTAATTTTGTAATAACGTCAAATTAGTAATGCACACAGTGTACCACTTAACTTTGTAATAACGTACAAAAAATAACATATTTTTTTATCATTCATTGACCACAATCTCAGAGCGTTCGTTTGGGCAATATACTCGTGAATGAAGTGTACCACAATAAGTTCGCACGTTACCGAATGGCCGTGGGTTGTTGCGAAACCTCCAGTTTTATTTTCTTTATACCTAGAATAGAACTAAAATTAATATTTTTATAATAAGGAACTTCGTTTCTATCCGGTGACGACACCACACATCTTTTTATGAATTGTTTTTATGAAT